CAGTCATTATTTCAAGAAAAAATTATGTCACATAAATAAAGTGGCTATTTTAGCTTGCAATTCAGGTGCCCAAATGTTTTACCATGCTCTTTATTATATAATGTACCTTTTTCCATTTCCATTTAATCATACAGAACATTAAGAAAACATTCTCCAGCCAAATGTAGAGGTACTTGGGAGGCTAAGGCAGGAAGATATAAAGTTGAAGGTCAGCTTGAACTACATATTAAGATCTTGTTTCAAAAACCAAAAATAACAAAAAACAGGGACACAGTGGTTAAGAGCACTTACTTCTTTTCCAGAGGATCTGGGTTTGGTTTCTAGTAACGACATCAGATAGCTCACAACTGTCTCTAACTCCAGCTCCAGGGGATCAGATATCCTCTTCTGGTTTCCATGCTTATATTGTATACAAACACATGCATACATAAATAAAAATAAAAAAACACTCCCTAAATATATATTGATTCAAAAGGATATATATGGTGAACATTCACCTATTTTTTTATTTGTTTAGTGTGTATGTGAGTGGGTACAGGAATGTCACAGTGTGTGTGGAGGCAGAGGACACCTTGCAAGTTGGTTCTCTTCTTCTACCAGTGGGTTCTGGGGAATGAACTCAGGTTGTCAGGCTAGGCATCCACTAAGCCATCTTACAGGTCCTCACTTCCTTTTCTTTCCCCAAATACTTAAGTACATTTCTCAAAGATAGCCACCATTATTTGGTTTCTTACATATTTTTGCAGTGCTACTTTAAAGATTAACAAACATTACACATACAAGCATATTTCTTTCTCCTGTCACATATATGGTGGTATGTTATAGTGCTTGCTATAATTTGAATATGAAGTGTCTCCCTGAAAACATTCATGTTTTGAAGACTTGGTTCCCAATTAGTAGATTCAACCATTGAGGTAATTTTTGGAGGTGGGGCTAGTTTGAAGAAGTAGCTTACTAGGGGCAGATCTAAGGGGTCCCTGACACCTTTCTGTCTCACTTCCTAGCCACTGTGAGTTGACAGCCTCTGCTGCATGCATCTGTTGTCATGCTATTCTGCCCTGGCTCAGGCCCAGACCAATAGATACAGCCAGCATTGGATAGAAACCTCTGAAATTGAACCAAATAAGCCCCTTCTCCTTTTCTTCTTCCTCCTCCTCCTCTTCCTCCTCCTCTTCCCCCTCCCCCTCCCCCTCCCCCTCTTCCTCCTCTTCCTCTTCTTCCTCCTCCTCCTCTTCTTCTTCTTCTTCTTCTTCTTCTTCTTCTTCTTCTTCTTC